CTTAGGCAACTTTACTTGAATTCACCTGAAAGTATAACTAGCTACGGTACTTCCACAACTAGATTTACTATTTGAAACTCAATTTGAAGATTCATTATTTAGCATATTTTTCATTAGTTCTATGTTCTTAATGGTGCCTTTTTTTTTCTTTAATAAACTGTTATGTATCTTCACGCATGTTTTGCAGGTTAACGTGTGTATTGTAATATTGTTAAACAGGTTATAATGTGTGATAATAAGTGTTTTCCTAAAAGTACGTTAGGGCGCTTGAGTGCTTGCCTCTTAACCTAATATCAACCTGTGACTTTAGCAGCAGGGCTATTTTAAATATTAATACTGAAAGCTGTTTTTGTCCATATATTAAAAATACAAATGCAATGCCTCATAACTTGTTTCATGGAACAAATTGAAATAATATGAATCATGCGGTGTATAAAAAGTCGAATTCACTTCATTAGGTTAGCAGTAATATTGGTAGGCCTTATTGTTGATGAACATTATTTTATTTCAATTCTAAGGAAGAATCGTAGCAGGTATAAAATAACAATTGCAAATATAGAATATTTTAAATTGAATTGAGTGTAAACAAACAATGCTGAATATGAACGCTCTTAAATGATTAAAAACAAATCATTAAATGATTTACCCAAGACATTTCCCCAGAATACGTCTTTCAAGTTTATCGCTAAAATAACGTTTCCTTTGAAGCGAGAAAACGCACCGTCTTTTTATAACAGACTATTCTTGGAATCACATATTTCAGTTATTGCTGTACTCTGTCTTGTAAATATTGTTCCTTTCATTTTAAATTCTTATTTATACTCTTTCCGTTTGAATTTGATTTTCATTTCCATTAGTAACGTTAAATCATGAATATTCAATTTGTTTCCTTTGACGTTAATTTAAAAGGCTCATTTATGCATGTTTTATCACGAGAATATTGGGTAGCATGTTCTTATGATTCCTTCAATCGTATTGTTGTTCCTCGAAAAAAAACCAAGCAAAATTCATTTTAATGAATTTTTAATATATGGAATAAACTATTGCCGTATGTCTTTTTTTAAGACCTAGGCCTGGGACTGATCGAGCAAATTCGATCAGATTTTGACGAAATTTGGCATGGATGTGTACAACTGGATAAACTTGAATGAGTTCGCGAACCAGAAGAATCGGGTCATTAAAATGGAGTGCTAAGAGGATTAAAGTAAAAAATGGGCTTTCATATATCTAAGATTTAAACGAAATGCACAGTCTTTACCACAACTAGCGTGTAGAGGTAAAAACAAATAACTTTGTACATTTTAGCGTTGTTGTACGATTACAGGATACGGAGAAAATTCCAAAATCCTGTAAATTTTAAAGTCCCATGCCACTATGGAACAATAGTAAACTGTTGCAGTTTACTTTTTAATTTATACTAGAGGTCGTCCAGGGGCCGAAAACTCGACCAAAAATAATGCACAGACTTCTCTATTTTCACCGTACGCTGTAAATAAAACATGTGATTGGAAATTCTTCCATTTGTTTTGATTTTCTTTTTATATTGCGTTGTTATTTTGTCACCAGCATGGCAACTCATAAGGTCCATGTAAATTTTTAAAATTTTAAATTCATTTTTTGTGCTTATTTTTTGCCTATTTTAATTTATAAAGGGATTCTACAAATCTACAGGAAAATATCTTTCCAAATAGCCAATAGTATGTGTGGATTTTCCCTGTGATGCACACGAGCCGAGAAAAATGTTTTAAAGGAACATGCTTGCCTATTAATATATAGATTATTTGATCAAATTGGGCAACATTTTAATTTTAAACTGTACTATTACCGTTAAAAAATACTTTTTCTTTTCCTGTTGCAGAAAATCTAAGGACTCGTTCAATTTAATTGATCCGCGTCTACCAACCGAACATGTTCTCCGAACATTGTTCGCGAACATAAGAAGGTCAAACATTCCACAGTTAGTTCATCAAACATGTTCGACGATCATTTTCATCAGCTCACGGACGAACAAACCAATGTTCGCTTAAGAGATCCGAACGTTTTGATCAGTTGGTGATCTTGTGTGGTGATGAGTGTTTCTACAGAGCGTCGTCATTTAGAGTGCAACTGCTTATTTGTTCATGTCCAATCGTCGACCTCCTCAAAATCACGGAAACAGATGTACTAACCGTTTAGTTTTGCACCATTCTTATTGAATAACCCTGTATTGACTAAATTTATTTACAGAAGTTGGAATAGGAGCTTTTATAATTAGTTGGATTAACACGAATTGTTTAATAAGTTTCATCGAATTGAGCCAAGCTTTAATTTACATTTCGTCCACGAATATTGTTGTCTTTGCGATAAAGCAAAACCTTGATTAGTTTATAATACTGAATGTTAACAATATACGTTTACGTTTAATATCCACCATCAATCGAGGTTCCAAATATTTGCTTTAGTGACATGATGTTTGTTTATCTTAAAACTACGCTTGCACAGGGGAACAAACATGTTTCTTGTTGAGTTTAAAACACAAATCTCCTGGATTACGTAAACAACTTTCAAACAATTTTCTAATTCGTCATTATAATTGCTTCCCTTGTTTAGTGGTAAAGTATTGTTGTTTTACTTTGCAAAGAACAATGGAAACAGTACCACACTAAATACATCATTATTATTTGTTTGTTGCTTGGTGTAAGGATAGAGGGTAAATTACAACCCGGTTTATGCTGCAAAGTTTTAATGTACCGGGCTTTTAATTATCTTGCATCAGTTAATGTTTATATTTCCTCTTTGTTTACATTGTGAACGTAATCTAACGTTGCTTTGGAAAAAATGAAATAAACTGAATATGTAGACGAAGAGGTTTGAATCTATAATATAAATTCTTCCATCACGACGATTTTAGGGCTTAGTTTCCTGTGATAATATTTATTTTAAACCAACAACAAACATGTTTAACATTTACCGGATTACAAAATAATCTTTATGATGGAAGCATTATTTAGATCAGAAAGCATACAGAGTATTTATTTTTATTTTGCACATGCCTTTAAATATACCAAGAGTTAGTCCAATACCATATAACAAATGTCTCATTTATAGTTGTCAACCAGATTGATAGTAGCCAAAATGTTACTCTAAATGTTTATAAATTATCATTAATTTTAATAGTTATTTAAATCAGGTAAGACATGGCAAGCGATTCATGTAATATTGAAGTATTGAAATATTTTTACAAATAGTAAATAATTAAAGCAATAGGTGGCTGTACCTCCATTATCAATAAAACCGTTTGAGTGTTAAGATGTTTTCGAATTCAAGGGGTTTTAGAGAAATATTCAGAAATATTCTATTTTATGTAAATCAGCTTGTGTGCTTTTACATAATTGATTTGTAAGGGAACCATATAAACCCTGATACTGTTACTGTGAAACGTTGACTTTTCGCAAAATAGCTCGCTTACCAGTGACATCAAATGGGTTCAGGAACAATCGCTTGAAAACGAAGCCTCAGAGGTGAGCACGATGCCCACTCGGTTAACTAGACAGTATAATTTACATTCCTGACATATTTTTAAATTTCTACTTACATAACTAAATTTGTTTCCAAATCAACTCTTTATCAACATGAAAAGAAACACTACAATGTAAAACATTCTAAATATCGTCAGAACAAATATATCTAAGAGTTGCAGCTCTGTAAATTAGTTGACGTTTATTCCACATAGGTGTACTGTATGTGGCCGACCACGAAACTCCTCAAGAAGTTTGTGTGTTTTCCGTGACTCCGTTACGACTTTTACGTGACTCCGTCATGCGTATTACGTGACGCACTGAGGCCTATGAATGGTATCTTCATCCCTACAACTGTCGAACGGAAGTTTCATTTTATGTTACATTGAAATGCTGAAGTTTGTGCTAGAACGCTTAAAGGTATTTGGTTTAAATTATTATATAGTTGTAGGATTTACTAGTTAAGTAATCATACAATATTCGAGTACTTAAACTATGAAGTTTGCCTGACACTATTCTAAATCCTACAATAATCATCTCCGGCCCAGGGGCTCAACAATGACATTTAATAGTCATTATTATGTTTTTAACAGGTATAATTTGCAGTATACTATCTTTATTTTAAAAAGAGGTTACTACAAATTTATAATTTATTTATATTTAACGTTTTAGAGTAAGATAAAACATTTAAGTTAGCGTGATGTTTACCCTCACCCGACAATTTGTGGACTTATAGGTTGTCGAGTTATCCAGAACTTTGAGAATATTAATTGGTTTTTTTTTATTTTTGTAAATGAATACATAACAGACTATTTTATATATAAGTTTATTAGGCCTACTATGAGTGATATTCAACAATTAAAGCTTGAAAAGTCTAACCCAATAGTCAAACGTAATGGTAATAGTAAGACAAACCCAGCTTGACATGCACCCCGTCAGCTGTTGGACTGTAGAGTTACCGGGTGTCGAGGTAGTGAGGTTTTACAAACATCTGCACGATGGGAGCTTTGTACTACACTATCGAGTGATATAAAGTATTATGCTTTAGCTATATCAGAAGGTTAAACACACACAATCCCGATAAAAGTCAAAGGCTTTTCTTGATCAGTACTGACTTAATAATTAGCTAACCTTAGTAAAAAAGTTACAGAAAACATCTCAAAAAATTATTCACTAATCTTTCATTTAAATTTACGCTAAAATTCACCTAGTATTTCCCCATTTAATGTAATAATAGTCGACTTAAAAAAATGTTTACACATTTTATTGCTTGCAGCGAATATTGTTTTAATACAGTTCAGTTTATGAAAATGATTTTAAAAGTACAATTTTAAAGAAATTTAATAGTTTACACATCTATGTAAATTGGTAGAAAACATTTTCGGCGTAACTGGAACACAATCTAATCAACGAGCTATTTACATACTACAACATCAGCCAAAGCGCGTGCCTTGCTTTCATTTTGGTGCTTATTAGTGTGGCTAAATGTGCCCAAAGTTATCAGTGAAAGTAGTGTATGATATTCTGATAAGGGGCGAGGGCTTGTTAAACACACAGAACCATTTGGAGCTCCACTCAACATGAAAGGTAAGCAGTATGAATGCAAACTATACGGTTAAAAAATATTTAGCTGACGAAAATCAAATCGTGGGAAGAAGCTAATTAAAAAAATAATGTTCTTTTTAGAGATGTGCAAAATAAAAAATGCTTTATTTTGTTGTTAATTTTAATTATAGCTATTTTATTGCGCTTATTAAAAAGATTGGGCAAACTAATCCAAATACTTAAAATTAATATATAAGACGTACAAAACCACGGTAAATTTTGGTTTATTATAATTTATTATGAACTATGTATATGGTAGAATAATAGAGTTACAAATTAATTATTTTTTAATCATTATATCCAAGTGTCATTAAAAGTTGTTATATATTATAAACGTGTTATAGAACTAGTTATTTGAACTTTGGAAATAAGACTAGGCAATATAGATAGGGCTCATCGTCATCTTTTTGATATCACTCATTTATGATTTTAACACTTTGTTAGTCTTGTGTCATTATTAAATTACATTGTTAAATTGTTCATGAAGGCAATTGTACAGTTTAAAAATTACTGTTTGACTAGGTCGTTGACACTACTTTTTTCAAAATGTTACATGTTTTTATGTGCTTAAAAACATTTAAATGTGCCAAGGCTTTCCTAAAAAAAAGATAAAACTTAACTCACATGGAGGTATTCAATCCATAAATTTTATACCACATTGATTTTTTTCAACACAAGGAAACATATTTTTCCTTTTATTTCTCTCAACGGTTACACCCTTTAATAATAATATAGAGGGTGGAAATTGGCCGTCAGATTAGAACCGTGGGGCTCGGAAGCAGGCCATACAATAGCTCATTGTGACTGCCATGACAACACTGGATATCTACTCCATTTTGAGCAGTGATGCCAATCTAATAACGGCAAATTCAGGTTGCTGGTCAGTAGTGTAATCGACATGCTTCCTAATAGGCCAGACACTGGATATTAATAATGCTATGACATGGCACATCTACCTGATTTCGAGCAGTGGAACTCTACCCGATTTCAAGCAGTGGTACCATTTCAGGTTGTTGGCAGGTAGTGCTATTGACAGGCCTCCTAGCAGACCATACCCTAGCACATTGTGACTGTCATGACGATGAGTACGGCAGCTTCAGCCTGGAGTTTACAGATGAGATCTCCTTGAGTGGTGACCTCTCGGAGTTCCCCTTTGTCATCCACCCTCACGACCATGGGCACAACCACGACCACGAACATAGCGACCACGACAGTGGTGGTCCTCCCGAGATCTTCAGGTGAGTCCTTCAGACATTTTCGTTCAAGTAATGCTATTTATCAGCTGATTTATTATTAACAAGAAATGGACAAGTAACAGCTGATTAGCATGCGCAAGTCCATATGATGAAATATTTTAAATATCGTATAGTTTGTTATTATTAAACCATTGGGTGATAAAAAGTGTCATAACTTTGTTATTTTTAACAAGTTTTGTTGATTAAGGTGTCATTATATTTATCTTTAAATAAAAAAAAATACTCGTTGTGTTTTTCGATAAAATATTTTGTTTTTCGAGATATTAATGATTTATATTTTTAAATAGCCGCCATTTTGAAATAGTTGAAAATACAAAAATAGTTTTTTTGGAAGTTCATTGTAACGTAATTTTACACGTACGTACAAAATTGTAAGATTCTATGTTGAGGCGTTCAGAAGCTAAAAGGAAATTTGAAAAAGCAAAGATAGATGTGAAACTAGGCATGGGAGACCCATATTGCAAAATATGTTCGTCTCTATCCAAGGAACAACCCTACAAAAGGGGTACAGGTTGTTTAGGGACACCCTGTATATGTAGCTTTGTTTTTGTGTATCTGATGTTTAAAAGGTGAGATGGTTTGTGAGTAGTTATGTTTGCAACAAATGAGTATCCATTGTAAAAGTTAAAGAAGAGTTCAAAATCCTGTTTACTTCCAGAACTTTCTTAACGTATTCTTTACAATCCCCACATATTTTTCTACTTGTCTATTACCATAAATAATATGGTTAGTCTATACTATTACTTAAACGAAAACCATTATGTCTGTTTTGGATGATAAAGACTTGATATGATTATAAAATTATTTAATCAAAACTGTTTACGTTTTTTCCCAAACTCTGTTATTAACAACATTTTGTTCTACTAAATATATTAACCCAAGACTTGTACAGTAATATATAAACAGTTAGTATTACTCGTTGTATTTGGATCGGGTAGAATAACAAATAAACCTATCCTGATGAAAATACAATTTGGTATGATAACAATTTAACCAAGGTAAATACACAAGCGGTCTAATTAAGATGGAGTAAATTACTACAGTCCGTTTGGATTACGGTTTTCTATTTGTGTTTGAATATAGCTTTTAAAATAGATCACAATCGATTGTTGTAATAAACATTTGAATTCAATTTCAAGTATTTTGACGAATATGCATGGTTTCTTATCAGTTCATAAGGTTAAGCATACATTAACTGAGCGATACATATTTGTAAAATATTTTTAAGCTGTAAAACACGCAGTCTACACCACTAATAAGAAAGATATATTTTAACACCATCAACCCCCTGATATATTTTAACACCCTGTAGCCTACCAAACTTTAACACACATCAACACCTTTTACTCGTATTTGTATACAATATCCAACGTGGATAACGTCACCTTACTTAAATTTCATAATTTTTAACATTGAAATGTTTCAAACCACTATTTTTCCTACAGCCCTGATTTCTTCAGCTCCGGTGAAAACCACGGGTCATTCCACGAAGAAGTGGTAGCAGACTTGTCTGTAGAGCATGGTCATAAACCTGGCCACGACTATGACCACGACTATGACCACGACTACGACCACGACCACGACCACGGCAGCCATGGTCATGAACACTTTGATCACTATGATCATCACGAATCTCACAATGACTACGATTACGGTCCCGACGTTGGCAACGTGGTGTTCTACTACAAGAAGAAGTAAATTGTGTTCCTAGTTATAATGTTGTGTTTAATTTTGTAAAGTAAAAAGTTAAAATTTGTGTTTTAAAACCTTTATTCTTACCCGTAAAAGTTGTTACAGGGGTATTTCGCAGAGGATAACCACCTTATTTTTACAATTTGCATAAGCCCAGAGACCTTTTCAACATGCTATTAACAGCCAAACCTTGGGTTCAACCGATAGTATTTGTCCATGACCCTTCGTCTACATGACCTGGGCCTTTTAAACTATTGACCATACCAGGTAGGCAAGATTCAGGAGAGAGGTTCCTTCATATGAACGGTTATGGTTAATATAATTATAGCATACCTTTTACCTAACCAAAACTAAGTTTTAACATAAATGGTTGTTTTGGAGTGAACAAACTTTATAAAATCGATACTTTAATTATCTTTTTAAAAATACCAATTACCAAGATTTTGCGTGTTTAATATTAAATCTAGACGAATTTTGTGATTTTTTCCCCCAGAATAATCCAGGGATTATTTGTATTTGACAAAGTAGATAATGATCACGTCTGATACGGGCGTGATGTTTTGTGGAATACAAAGATCATCTCGGGTCACGAACTTGAGCCAGCCGACACAGCTGAGTCCTAATACCACTACTGTGCTAATACAGACCCAAAAAGTAGTATCAGTTGAGCCAGTCCGACTTTTCGAAAACAAAACCTTTACCGAATTATCAAGGACCAAACAGCATGTGTGTTAATTTACCATAGGACGGTGTGGATTTCAAAAGACTTTATCCTCACATACAGTATCTATAAATTAAGGACTTAAAAACTTTATCACTTCTGGCCCACTGTGTCACACAAATAGTATATTAAGTATTTAATTTTAATGCAAGCCCCTGAGGGATCCAGCGCTCCTTATTTCTATTGGCAGAGCACGGGACTTCGGTCCCCAAGGTCCCGGGTTCAGATCTCGCAAATGTTTGGATTTTATCTAAGTCATTATATCTAGACCTAGCCTAACGTCATGTAGAAAACAATCCCGGGCTAGAAACTAGCATAGATTAATAAAAAAATGTGTTACCCTGAGCGTGCGCAAAATAACTTGTAAAGGTTTTCTTTGGTGTAAGACTCTAGAATTCGACTTGGGACAACAAATCCCTAACTGATACTAAAAGGCATCAAGTGCGTAAAATGTTTACTGTGCTCAATTTATAAATAGTCATTCATTTATAATCAAGAGTTTTATTTTTTTTTACACTGAGCATCGAATAAATTAGCAGGTGCCGTATAACAGCAATCATTGAAAATAACAATAATACACCAAGAAATGTTAATGTTTTTTAAGTACCAACGTACACTTTTCAATGTGGTTTGTATTTGAAACGGCGCCTTCAAAGCTCTATCTGCAGCCGGGAGGACTGACCTGTGGTGCAAATTGCCATACTACATAACTAGTTTACAGAAAAGATATGAATACTATGTAAACTTATTTAAAAAATTTCGTACATTTTAATTAAATTAATTTTTCATTTTTCAACATTTTATAAAAAAATTAACCAAGCAAATTTGTTCTTTGTGAAAAAAGTACAAAAGGCCCTTTATGTCCTAGGACGCTTGGCGCAAGCCTGGGATTGTTTTGCACATTATTTCAAGGGGGTTGCTGCACTATCACTTAAATAAAATCCATTGGTGATTTGGCAGGATCTGAACCCGGGATCTCAGGGACCAAAGTCCTGCACTCTAACCAATAGACCAGCTCGCTCTCCCACAAAAGACTATTTTAACATATCACAAATTTGAAAAACTATTTTGAAAGTTGCTCACACAAAAACAAAAACCAACCAAATCTGAATCAGTATAGTAATGCAAAATGCATCTATTGCCTATGTAATGGTCTATCAGTTGATTTATTTGCATAGAACCGTTTTCGATTGTTATGACATCAGTTCCAACACAATTTACTTCCGCAGCTATTCTTTCCTACTTCCCATGAACGAAATAAAAAAAACTTGTTCCCTTCTCAACTCAGGTTCAATAAAATTAATAATCACACTGCAGATACATATTAAATCCACAATATGTTTCGGAAATTGATTTAAAGCTATGTCAATATCTCCCAATACAAAAATGGATGGTGTGACATTAAATTATTCGGATTCTTTGTTTTGTTGCATTTAATTATAATACTATTATTCAAATTATTTAATGTATTAATTAGACTTACTATTAAAACAAATTATCTTTATTTTTTGTCATTGACTTAATTATATTGCTATCAAAATACGGTATTGTGACTATAGGCCATATCCACAAAATAATATTTAGGTATAACCATAGAAAAAAGAATTACGGGTATAACTATTGTAACTTATTACTGTACTTCAGTAAGATGGACGTTGAATAAATGAATTATTTGATTTGTATGCAAGTAAATTAGTTTTTTAATAGCGAATGTCCCATGAAGGGAGCAAGCTATTACCGTAGGTCTCGTGGTAAGACCTGGACCTGGGACAGATTTACTTTTCCGTTTAGATGACCACGGAGGCCAGAAAACGTAATCGAACGAGTTTATTATAGCTTATGGACCAGCATGCTCTATGGGAATGCTGTGAATGGTGTTTTGTGAGACGAAACCTGGGCTTCTCACTTTTGGCCATTAAATCACAGAATTTCCCAATTTCTCTTTTAACCATTTTGTAGAGTTTAATAAAAAACACAAATAATTAAGTATTTGTAAATGATTTCGTACTGTAAAAGGATGCGGGAAAAATTGTTAAATTGTAAATTTTAAATTTATATTTTACTGTTATAAACAATAAGTAAACTGTTGTAGTTTGCTAGTTTATGGATATATTACAATCAAATTTAGAAAATTTGTTATTTAATCCTGAGAAATAACAATTTGACTAAAACACACCTTTTTACCTTATTACTAAGAAAAAAACAATGGTCTTCTTTATGAAATTAATGTTATTAGAACATATATTCAATTTAATAATTGTAAAGGAGTATTTTAGGAAAAATCCAACAAATGGATATTTCTGCAGGTTTGCTGTGGTGGGGTATTTTAACAAAATATGCCTATATGAATGATACTTTATCATCATGTGTCCAACTTGTCGACATGTTTAGTGTATTACAAAATAAATATGTAAACAAATCATCATGTCAGTACGTGAGCCGACATTACTAGCACTGTGTACAGAGCTGATTTAGTATACAGAGTACAATTCAGGGCAGGATACTGTTCTATATTTCTTTGGTCTTTGACTTGCAGTCGTTTGCTTAACTTCCTTTAAAATATACGGGGTCATTCATCTACTAGCGACACTACCGCGAAAGGGCGGTACTATAGGAACAACTAAGTTAATGTGCCTATATTTCACCTACATCACCAGTTAAACCACTTAATCTTACCATGGATTTGTTTACTGTTGACTTAAACGCTTAGTTATTCAGACGACAGTCACTTTCCATGTATAATAGCTAACTATTTGTTTTATGTATTTTCAAAATATTTCCAAAACGTAAATTGGAAAAAATATATTTCCCTAAAAAAATTTATTATGTTATAAATGAAAAAAAGTGTACATGCGTAGTTTGTTTATGGTTTGAACATAGACAGTTAAGAAAGGTTTCAGACACGCGTTGGCTGAGTGACATTTTATTTGGCATTTCAAAATGGCGTCATAAAGTAAAACACTCCAAACTGCTACGTGGAGAACGTTTTTATTATTCAGCGTAAGTTTATTCGTAAAGCAATAGAGTAAGCCTCTTCGTGAAAAATTTTAACTGTTGATTTGAAAAATAAAAAAAATATTTTTAAAGCTAGATGTTGTGCTTGTAGATTAGAAAAAGACATAATTTTGATATTAAAAACAATTAGTGATTGTTATTTTAAAGTGGTGCTAGATTTGGGGTTTCTAAGAATAAAATAATATCAATTTTTATTTTTAAAAAGAGGTACAGTAAGAGCTAGTCAGGCTGCACATAATTTAAAAAACAAAATGATGATATTTCAGCGTTTTATTATTTATTCTTTTTTAACATGATGTCGTATAGGAAATGTTAAATAATCTATATTCCCTCTTAGCTTGCATAGCTGGACGTACATATAAAAAGCTCTGTTTGTATTGTTTATAATATATACTAATATAAAATTGAGGTGGTGTCTGTCTGTCTGGCTGCCACGACTAAATACTAAAATACTAAACCAATACAGCCCAAATTAAGCACAGAGATTGTCCACATACCTAGGAGTATGTCATAGGACTATTCACTTCCCTGAGTTCCACTCGGGCTCTACCCCTTGGATGTCCAACGTTTTGAGGTGAGGTTTTCAAAAGTAAATATTAATTGGTCTCCATGGAAGCATGAGAAAATTCACAATCTTTGTTTACCTTTGCTTTGACATTTCAATGTAAACAGTCAGAAATGCTAAATGCTTATTTCACAATTTCAGATAGCTGATCCAAACAAATTAAATAAAATATTTTACAAAATATGTGGTAGGTTTGTTTATGTGATTGATTATGGAAAGAAAGATTATACAACCGTAAGTTATGAAAATTATGTTATTTATATAAGTAATTTAATGTAAACAGAAGGACAATTGCAATGTAGGGCGTACTTTTTTTGTAAAATTTGGTGGCTTTTAGTTTATAGATTCGATCTACTTAACAAGTGTTTGGATTAGGCGGAATAGTACATCTTCCCGCTGTGAAGCACGGGTACAGCAGCTAGTTATTTATATTGATCAAACATTTTTTTTACCTAAAGGTATAACAGATATTATCATTTAAAATTGGTAGATTAAAGTTATTCCAAAGTACGAGTAATTTAAAACAACTACTGTAAAAAGTGTAAAGGCATCTTTCTAGACAACAGTGATTTGTCAAATCACAAGAAAACTTAAAAAAAAACCACAACAACAGAAACGAAGAGAACAACAACAACAATATTCATCTTCTACGTATATCAACAGCCTCTCAAGTTGTTAAGCATTAACAAGTTTTGATTTCATCAATTGTTTAAAAACTCTAGGTTTGTAGTAGCTGAAGGTAACGAATGAAAGCAATACATTT